CTGCTCGCGAGCTTCTATTTAACTGCCGTCTTCTGTCTGGGCATCGTTTCTGAATGGGCCGGTGGGGACAGGCGAAGCGTCAACAATCCACCCCTCACCTTCTACCTTCAATCCAACTGTCTCGCGTGCACAGTCGGCTACACGCAAGAGTGGCCCTAGGCAAGGGTAACCTTTGGTGAGCGGCTTCAGGGGGGCGCGAGGGGGCCAACACCAAGCGCGCCAGCCGCTGCCAACACTTCGCGGTTAGCGGTCGGAGGACCCAAATGGGCCCGCACCAAAGGTCACTCTGGCGAAAGGTCACTCGTGCGTGTAGTCCATACAGTCTCTCGAGGGGGGCGACTGGCTTGTGCCCTGCAGTACGTCCCAGCACAGGGACAACCGCACAGAGTGCAAGAGCTCAGCGCCCAAGTTGGCGAGCTGCATGAGGGTGGCTTGCAGGCGCCTTGTCTTGCTCGTGGTCTCGAAAACGTACGATTGCGAGCAGCATGTAGGCCACGGGCCTTCGCTGATAAGCATGTCTTCTGATAGCTGGGGACTGCATCGATCGCTCCGCAAACTTTTCTCTCGCCCCTCGGCGCGGCCGCCATATCGAAAACTCACCGTTACATCGAGCAGACGCATGCCGCGTACCTATGGGGAAAGAGCTCACAGGTGGAAGACCTGCGGGACGAACACGACCGCTACGAACGGGGAGGAGAAGAGGAACGGAGGGGGAGAAGGAGGCACACGATAGCTAAGACGAGGAGGGGGAGGAGGAGGAGGAGGAGGAGGAGGAGGAGGAGGAGGAGGAGGAGGAGGAGAGAGAGAGGAGGAGGAGGAGGAGGAGGAGGAGGAGGAGGGAGGGGAGGAGGAGGAGGAGGGTGAGGAGGAGGAGGAGGAGGAGGAGGAGGAGGAGGATGAGGAGGAGGAGGAGGAGAGGAGGGGAGGAGGAGCAGGAGCAGGAGGGAGGAGAAGAAAGGGATAATGATGAATGCAGGAGAAGGAGGAGGAGGAGGAGGAGGAGGAGGAGGAGGAGGAGGAGGAGCAGGAGCAGGAGCACGGAGAAGCGAGTTAGAGGGACACTGCAGTTGGAGCGAAACGCCTGGTGAGATGGCCCAGCGCCAGGCAGAGATGGAGTGCACACTCTGGGCATCCTCGAAGTGCGGGCTGACAAAGTCTCCGGCGAGCGCACATGGTTGAGCTGACCCGGGGACATTCAACGAATATGAGCTGCGGGGCGGGTCGGCAGAGGAGGGGCCACACCTGGCGCAGGGCCGTACCTGGACCAGGGCCACGTTGGGTGCAGGGCCACAGCGCACTCAGGGCCACGTTGGGTGCAGGGCCACAGCGCACTCAGGGCCACGTTGGGGCCAGGGCCGCAGACACCCCAGGGCCATAACGACGGTTCCCGCCCAGTTTCGGAGTCCGCATACTTTTGAGGTACGGATCTAGTCGAGACTCTCAGGCCTCTCAAGGCCAGGGGACAAGAAGCATGAACACATTACGAGGAGGGGCCAGAGAGTTTAGCTCCCCAGGCAATCGGAGGCTTCGCGTCTTGAGTGCGTGGGGAGGTGCTTCCATGTTGGGGGGTCACTCGAAGCATAAGCTCCGGAGGGCCTGGGAGGCTGGTGATACCCATTCATCGTCGAATGAGAAAGCCTCTGCGTAAAGGGATGGTGTAGCTGAGAGGCAAGAAGCCATCAAACGTAACAAGGAAGGTGGGACTTGCAAGGGAAACAAGCAATGGCGCGCAATAAGGAGCGCAGTAAACCAACTATGTGCCGTGCTGGCTGTGACCCCAGCAGGCGGCCAGCAAGGCAACATCGTAGCCACAGAGCAACAACGAGGAGGACGGAGCAGAGCCATGCAGTCTCGTGGCAAGAGCAGGCATGTGATAAAGCGCTGGGGCGGCCAAGCCAAGCTGCAGGCACCTCGTCCTGGCTGGGCCACGCTGGCCGGCAACACGCAGGCGGCGCCGAGGCTGTGGGCCTAGGCAGCACCATGGCTCCGGGGGGGAGGGGGGGGGGCTGCTGGGTGGACCTGGCAGAAGGCCACCCCAGGCCCAGCCACCTCAGGGCAAGATGTCCGATTCTACGCCGCCTCCACCGTGTAGATGTGGACGGGGGGCCCTCGGGCAAGATGGCCGATTTTACGCCGCCTCCACCGTGTAGATGTGGACGGGGGGCCCTCGGGCAAGCTGGCCGATTTTACGCCGCCTCCACCGTGCAGATGTGGACGGGGGGCCCTCGGGCAAGCTGGCCGATCTTACGCCGCCTCCACCGTGTAGATGTGGACGGGGGGCCCTCGTGGCCTCGGGGGGGGGGGGTCAGCAGGCTCACCGGCACCGGCCTGGCGAATCTGAGCACCACCGGCAGCTTCGTGCGAGGGGAGCCCGGCGAGCCTGGGAAGCAAAACCACGACGGCCGCCCCCCCCGGGCCGACCCCGGACGGCGCAGCGCTCCTGCAGGAGAGGCACGGGGCTGCACGGCACGGAGCAAGCCTGGGCAGAGGCACGCGCACGAGCCGTGGACCGACCGGCGCGGCCGAGCCACCGACACGGTGATCACGGCGGCGTGGCCCCGGCCGAAAGGGGGGCAACGACCCCAGACCCCCGACGTAATGATTTTTTCATTACGTCGACCCCCAGAGGTCCCGACCCTTTCCCCATGACCGGCTTTGCATCCTCGTTTTTTGACGCTCCCGAGGCCCGGTGAGGGCCCCCGGAGGCCGGAAATCCGGAAAAACCTCCCGTCATGATTTTTTCCTTACTCGAGGGGGTCTGGGACCTCCGCCGCGCCCGCTGCTTCCAGAGCGGCGTGCCCGCGCAGGCGCGCCCGGCGCCCAGGAGGCGGGGGCAGCCCTCGGCCGGGCGCGAGCGCACCGTCAGGAGGAAGAGCGCGCGCCGAGGCCACTGCCGGAGAGCGGGCGCCGGCAGAGCGGCCGGCGGGTGGGAGGCGAGGCGGGGCGGACCGAGCGGGTCGCAGACGGAGCAAGGGGGGGCCCAGACACGATCGCGTCGCCAAAAAATCATGACGGGAGGTTTTTGGCGATTTTCGGTCCTTGGGGTCCTTCGCCGGGCCTCGGGACCGTCAAAAAACAATTCAGGACGAAAAACCGGTCCCAGGGAAAGGGTTGGGACTTCCAGGGACGCCGTCCTGAAAAAAACAGGACGTCGCATGTCGGGGGGGGGGGGAAGGGCGGCGGCCTCGTCGACGGGGAGACCTCGCCTGACCGCACGAACAGGCAGCTCAGCCAGGGCAGCCGCGAACGCGATCCCGGTACCTGCGTCGGGGTCCCCTTGCTTCGCCCGCTGAAGACGTCGGGCTCTAGGAGAGCGAGCTCGGAGGCCAGGGGCGCCCCGTTCTCTGCGTACCTCGGGTTCTCGCGGTCCGGGAGAAGCCGGGAACACCTGCCGAGCAAGGAGGGCGCGCGGCCCTTAGCCTGCAGCAGCGTGCGGGTCTCGGGCGGGGGCCCTGGCCCCCACGGAGAAGAGCAGAGCTCGGCCGCCCCGACGCGCAACACGCAGACCGCAGCGTGTTGGCACGGAGCTCAACACGCAGATTGAACACGTGGGTCTGGCGCGGTACGCGTTGCGTTTCAACGGCGGCGCGCCTGGGGGGGGAGTGAGAAGGGGCGGGCCTTCTCAGAAGGCTCGGAAGTCGCCTGGCCTTCTGAAAGTTTCCCAAGCCTCCCCCGAAGACGCGACAAAAACCTCTCGGAAAGCGCGAGGGCCCCTGAGGAGTCCCGCCGCCTTCTGACGGAGGACGCCTCCTCCTCCTCCGCTCCCCCCCCCCTCGCTCGCCGCCGAAACACGGGCGCATCCGGGCAACCGAGCAGCAGAGCTCACTGCCGCCCTCCGCTCGCCCTTCCGCCCAGGGCGCCCCCGCGTGGGGCCTCCCTCTCGGAGGGGGCACCCCGGGAGCGAGCACGAGCGGGCCTGCCGCCGCCCAGGCGACCCAAAGTGGGGGCGGCAGGCGCACCGCGCAGCGCGCGGGGCTCCAGGGAGGGCGAGGCACGGAGCGGGCGAGCAGCGCCAGGGGACATCGCGCGGCGGATCGCGGAGGCCCTGAGCCCGGAACAGTTTTCCACGCCTGGGGGGGCGCCTCTTTCACTTCCGCCGCCTTCCGCCAGCCTTCCGGCGGCTTCCGCCGGCGGAGGCGGCCTCGCTCTACCTCCGCCGACCTTCCGCCGCCCTCGCGCGGCGGAAGAGACGACAACTCCGTTGATCCTCGAAGGCAAGGCCATTTTGGGAACGCCTCATGTGTGAAACGGAGCGGTCAGACTCAGAGAGCAACTTCCGCCGCGTGTGGCTCCCGAGCTCGTCTTTGTGCTCGCGCCAAGCAGAAAGGTTTGAGGTGCCGTCTCAATCCACGGCTTCCCGCCCCAATCCCTTGCATCACAGATCAGGCAAATCATGCCACCTTCCAACCGCAAGAGACTTCCAGGGCAACATTGAACGGGACATGCGACAGTTGCCCGTGAGTGCCGCGACAGCCACACCCAGCTCAGCCTCTCGATTGTCCTGTTCGCTGATACTTCGAGCGACATGGCCCTAGCCTTCCCAGACCAATCCAACGATTTCCGTATATACCAGCGACTAGCGCTTCTGTCCAGCACGCAGCGCCTGTCTGTTGGGCTTTGTCGTCGGGGGCAACACCTACGACAATAGTTTCTCAATGTTGGTGGACATTCTGCGCCGAGAAACGTGCTGCATGACGACGAGGCGAACCGACTTTGGAGCTGACGGTAAGGTTCCTCGGCGAAATGACCAAGACCTTCTGGATGCTGACACGCGCTCGCGCGAGAGACAAAAGGCCAGCTACCGGGCGCGCGGTAGACGGGCGAATGTAAAGGCATCAGATGGGGAAGCTGTTGAGGCAGGCCGGAGGGGAGCAGCAGGAGGAGCAGCAGGAGGAAAGCGAGGATCCAGGAGATTGGACAGAGCACGAGGAAAATGTCATCCAGGAGGGGGAGGTGCATGAGCAGGAGGAGGAGGAGGAGGAAAAGGAGGATGAGGAGGAGGAGGAGGAGCAGGAGGCAGGAGAGAGCGGAATGAGGAAGAGGAGGATCGGCGGCGTCGGGGCGGGCCCTACTCCTCCATCGCGTCGGATGCGCCCGCGAGGCAAGCCATCAGCGGGGGCTCCAGGTCGCGCTTCGACAGCCCGCGGCCGATGAACACCAGCTTGCCGGTGCGCTCCTCGCCGGGCGCCCAGGGCTTGCTCGGCGTGAGCTCGAACGTGGAGTGCACCGCCTGCGGGGGGACGGCGACTGTAGCCCCTGCTGTCTGCCCTTCCTCCGTCCTCCCTCGCCGCCGTCCTCCTCCTCCGCCCCGCTGCTCCCTGCTGGCAGCTCCTCCTGCCTAATTGATGCTGATTGCTCTCCCCCGCTGCTCCCGCTCCTTCCCGCTCGTGCCGCCGGCGGCCGATGCTCCTCATCCACGTCCTCCTCATCGTTCTCAACATCATCATCATCATCATCATCATCATCATCATCATCATCATCATCATCATCATCAGCATCAGCACCAGCACCAGCATCAGCATCAGCATCAGCATCATCATCAGCAGCAGTATCATCATCATCATCATCATCATCATCATCATCATCATCATCATCATCATCATCATCATCATCAGCATCAGCATCAGCATCAGCATCATCATCAGCATCACCATCAGCATCAGCATCAGCAGCAGTATCATCATCATCATCATCATCATCATCATCATCATCATCATCATCATCATCATCATCATCATCATCATCATCAGCATCATCGTCATCATCATCGTCATCATCGTCGTCGCCATCCCCCGTCAAATCGGGCCGCATTACCTGGGCGGGGAGTGCGGTTGCGAATCGGCTCACGGAACGGGGGGTGCAACCTGCTATAAAGCACCGCTCCCACGTGCAGACCAACTGCGCTGCCTGCCCCCCTCCTTCTGAGCCCAGGGCTCGACAAGCGGCCCTGGACCTGTCCTGGTGGGAGCTGTGGCCAGAGCTCCTGGCATCCAGGCGCGGCCACGAGATGCCCCCAGAGGCCCCTTCCCGCAAAAGTAAGAATATTGGAGGCCTAGAAATGGGCACCAACACCAACACAAGGGGTTGCCTCAACATGGGGAAGGGGACCCTAGATTTCGGTGTTGGTGGCAATACTTCGGTCACCTTGGAAGCCAGAATATTACCACCATCACCGAGATCGGGATCTTCTTCCCTGGCTGGAGGCACACCCCCGATCTTGGTGTTGGTGTCAATCTCTAGGCCTGCGAGAATAAGAAGAAACACGTCGGAGAAACTCGATCCTCGATCTTCGAGGGGCACCCGCCCAATGAAGAGCAGGGAGAGCGCAACAGGGGGCTCTGCCGGTGGCGGCCCGGCGGTCCTGCAGCATGTAGCGGCAGTCTTCGCCCGCGACCGCCACCATGCCCTTCGCGCGGTACACGTCCGCCTCCCCGCGCTCCCAGAGCAGCTCCTAGGAGGAAAACAAGCCTACCTCGCTTTTGACCACCCTCGCTTCCAAGAGATACCAAGCGATGCCAAGCTACGGCCTGTACTGTTCAGGCCGCCTGACAAGGAGGCGCGTGGTATGGCTTGGTTTCGCCTGGAAGCGAAAGCGGGGTAGGTCATTCAGGCTCTGAGCTCCCCCAGGAAGCGCGTCAGAGCGCGTTCGTCCACCTCGCTGGGCATCGTGATCGTCACGCTGCCTTCGGCAGGTGGCCGAACAAACCGCGCGGTTGCCAGCGCGCCCGCCCCCCCCCGAAACAGTGGGTTCTGGCACTCCAGATGTGCAACCTGTGTGTGGAAATCTATGCGGCACAATCCAGCGATGCAGTCTACGTGAAGCAAAGCGTTCGATGCAAAATACGCGGTGCAGTCTACGGAACGCAAGCTATGCGGTGCAAGCTGCTGGGCGCACTTGCAGCCAAAAATCAGATCAACAAATTCACTTTTTTAGAAGTCTGGGCCAGCTTCCCGGAAGCGCCTTAAGAAAAACATGGTCTAACATCTGTTCTTAACGCTGGAGGGGGCGAGCGTGCTCAAGCAACTGGTCCAGCTGTCCGGCAAGTCGGTGAGAAATGCTGGCCCAACTTTTCGGGGGGAGGTTTCTTAATCAAATGCTCCACCGTAAATGCTGCCACCTCATGGGTTGTCAACTCCACAGCTCGCGCAACCATCCAACACTCCCACCCGCAACTTGTTTTGCAAAACCCATGAGGCGGCAGTTGCGATGACTGTTAGGCCCTGGCTGGCACACCTTCGCGGTCGCGATGGCGCGCGCAAGCTCGCACGCAAAGCGGCCAACTGGTTTGGCACAACCGATGCGGCCGCGATGGCGCTTACCGATGGCCACTTCCCAATGCGTCACAAAAGCCGTGCTGGCGCGCGGGCACCTCAATACGGGTCGGCGGCTCGTGCGGGCGCGGTATCATGATGACGTCGACAACCGCGGCAACGATGGTGGTAGTAGCGATGGTAGTGGCGATGATGGCAATGACGATGGCAAGGCCAATGACGGCGCCGATGATGATGATGATGAAGATGAAGATTAAGATGAAGATGCAGATGCTGATGCTGATGATGATGATGATGCTGATGTTGATGCTGATGATGATGTCCATGCGTCGATGATGAAGGTGCTTGAGTGTTGATGGTAGTCATGGTGACGATGGTCTACGACGATGACGTGGCGGCGCTGATGGAGGTGATGGTGAGGAAGTGCGCGTGCGCGGAAATCCAAGACCCATGGCAAATTTGCTGTTGAAAAAAAACTATGCTCCACAAGCTGCTGTAGGGCTCTAGCTCGACATGTTTCGAAAACCATAGACAGTGACTGGCCGGATTTCGACTCGCTCGCGCTGCGGCGCGCGCGCGCGTGTGGCCGGCAAGGTATGATCTGCTACGGATTCGTGCGGTGGGTACATACTGGATCAATGCGGATGCACCGCGTTGCGAGATGACACCGCAGATTCAGTTGGATCATCCTGGATCGATGCGGATGCACGCGGGCGAGATTGCTAAAATCAAATGGTTCGCCTAGGAGCTCAGCAAATGTGCGCGGGCAGACGCGCTGCAAGATTCGTGGTGGAAAACTTGAGGGCTTTCTTTTCACATCGTTGTGTTGGAATTCGTGACTGATGTGTGTCTGGTATGGTTTCGACACGTGCGCGCATGGTGTCAGATGTTGCAAGGGGTTCTTGAAACGTGACAGTTCACGATAAACGCGTGCACGCATAAGTATTTTTATTTGACAGGCACGAGGGAAAAGGGCCATGTCCGGCCTGCCCGGGATGGTATGGATTCTTCTGGGGAAATAATGATGGGGCACAACCATACGTCATCTGCAGTGCCCCGGGGGGTACCAACAACTCCTCCTCCCTCCTCCTCCTCCTCCTGGGGAGGCAGATGGTGGGAGCCAACTCTTCCCTTGAGCTGCTTAACTCTATGTGGCGCACGCTATGCGGTGCAACCTTCTCGTTGCCCCGCCTGAAGTCGTCAACTCCACTGCTCGCGCAACCGTCCCACCCACCCGCCCGCAGATGACCTGGCAACGCCCATGCGGCCCCGATCGCGATTCCCGATTAGAACTTGCTAGCGCGTCTCTACGGCCGCGCTGGCGCGCGCGCGCGCTCGCGCGCAGAGCGGCGGTTTGGCACAACCGATGCGGCCGCGACGGAGCTTACCGATGGCAACTTTCCAGCGCGTCTCAAAGGCCAACGCTGGCACGCGGTGACGACGATGACGATGACGATGGCGATGGCGATGACGATAATGATGATGCGAATGATGATGTGCATGTGTTGGTGGTTAAGGTGCTTGTGATGCTGATGGTGGCAATGGCGGCGATTCACGGTGACGATAACAGCGGTGATGCGATGGCGCGCTGATGAGGGTGATGTGGAGGTGCGCGGGAGGAGAACTTCACTGATGTTGGCAGACTTGCGCTGCACAGCGCTGGGATCCTCAGATGTTTCTGCAGAGCTCTGTCTTGAAATGCTTCGGAACTTGAAGGATTTGTAAGGATGTCGGCGCGCGCGCGTGGCGGCGGCAGCGGCATGTGGCCCGCACGGTATCATGTGATACGGATGCGTGAACTGGGCGCACGCTGGATCAACGCGGATGCACCGCGTTGTGAGATGGCACTGCAGACTATCTTAAATTGGATCATACTGGATCAATGCGGATGCACGCGGGCGAGATTGCTAAAATCAAATGACTTGCCTAGGAGCTCAGCAAATGAGCGCGGGCAGACGCGCTGCAAGATTCGTGGTGGAAAACTTGAGGGCTTTTGCTTCACATCGTTATGTTGGAATGTATAGCTGATGTGTGTCTGGTATGAGTGCGATGAGAGTGCGGGTTCTAGACGAGCTTGCTGCCATGCTTTATTGTTATTTGACTTTAGCAGGTGCGCTCGGGCAGAACATCTGCAAGGAATCTATTGAACAGCTGACGGGTGTTTACGCGTGTTGTGCTGAAGCGCTTGTGTTTAGTCTGATTTTGACATGTGCGCGCGTGTGGACTTGCCTTTCTGTCGTTGCAAAGAATTATCGATTAAGCGAACATGCGGGCGTTTGAAAGGGATGACGGGGGGGGGAGCGAAACCAGCTCGCCTGGGATGAAGTGACGTCACATGGCACATGAACGATGAGACAGAATTATCTGTACACCGATTCCCGCTTGCAGGGGGTGACACGGCGCGTGTGATGACTGGCAGGTCCGCTACGACACGCGTCCGCGGATAGAGAAAATCAGCGCCATGGTAAGGGATGGGAGGGAGGGGTAGGATGTCGGATGTCGACGCGAGCGCACCTAACTTGCCCTTTCCCCCTCTCTCGCTTCAGGGGGGAGGGCGGAGCTCGTCAACGCCCTTCGGGGGCCCTCGGGAAAGGGAAGAGGTCCCCACGACGGGCCGGCCAAGAAAATCCCAAGAGGGCCCCCATGGCAGGCCCAAGAGGGCTGCGAGACGGCCCGGGAGCGCTCCAAGACGCCCGAGATGTCCTCCAGACTACACAATAGGGAGCCCACAAAAGACGTACGCGCCCAACCATGTACATGAACACAGCCTCTCGATCCGCGAGACCGTCCGCGTGGTACGAACATTCGCGCAATGCATACTCTCGAAACCAACGTGGATTCATGTACGTGTACGTCCTTCTGTCGCTCCTGACACAAGGCGCCCAGGACACCCGAAGAGCGCTCCAAGAGGCACCGAAAGAATGCATGTTCCCAGGAGGGCCTCAAGAGAGCCCCTAGGAGAGCCCCAAGGAGGGGAACGCGAACTGGCACTACGAGCTCTCCGCCCCAAGATGACCCCCGAGACCGCCACCAGGCCCGCGAGAGGCCTCCCAGGAGCCCCCGGGAGGGCCCCTAAAGGCCCCAATGCGGCCTGGAGGGACCCCAGAACCGCACACGTCGTGAGCCAGCTCCCTCCCGCACCCCCTCCCGCAGAAACCCGCCTCGACCAGCGAAGGTTCTCCCCCGGCCGCTCCGAGGGAAGATTGTCCAGTCGGGCCGGGCGAAAGGGGGGGACAGCAAAGGGAGGGTTCGAGAATCAGCTCACGCTGATTTTCCCGCCGCCCCCCGGTGCTGGGAGGCGCCCATGTATCGAGGGATGGGCCCGGCGGCGGGGCCGAAACCAGCTGCATGCAGCAGATTTCGTACCCCCCCCTTTCCGTATCCCCCCCTTTCGTTCGGCCCGATCCAGGCGGCCCGCGTGGACCCATGGGCGGCGCAATCAGCACGGCCGAGGCCGACGAGGCGCCGCCCGCCCCCCCACCCGAGCGACGAGAGACGCAGCGGCAGCCCGACGCCGACCACGCCGGCAGCGCGCGGCGCAGGCGCCGGGCAGGGACTTTGCTGTGAAGCCACGCCGCTCCCTTGGGAGCTCGGGGTGGCGCGGGGCGCGGCCGCTTCAAAACGAGGGCCCAATTCAGCACAACTTTTCCGTCAGCGGCGAGGCGGCGAACTCCGATCCAGCGATAAGCTAGAAGGGGGCACGGACTAGCGAATTGGCCGGCGGGCAAAGAGTGGGGGGGACGGCCGAGAGGAAGAAGGGACGCTCAGACGTCGAAGAGTTCGACGATGAGCAGCCGGGGGGGGCAGCAGCAGCCAGGCGCGCAGGGCCAGAGCGCGGAGGGCGACCCAACTCAACACAAGATGGTTGGGGACAAAAACGCGACATCGGAAGTCCTGGTGTTTGTGAATCCTCGTCGCGTTCCACGCGCTTCGGCCGAAGATCCGTCCGCTTGCTGCCTTCGGGAGCCCGACGGCCCACCGAAAGGCCCAAGAGGGCCCCTGGTCGGCCCAAGACGGCCCCCCTAAGAGAGCTCCGAGCTCGACAAAGGGAGCCTCGAGAAGGACCCCGGATGCCCAAAGGGGGCCCTAGACGTCCCAACAAGGTCCCGGGGCGGCCGACCAAAAGGCCCCAAGAGAGCCCCGAGACGGCCCACTATGGGGGAGACGTAGGACTCGGGTTCGGGGGACTCGGGCTGGCCAGACGTGGCCATCAGGAAGACGAGGGAGCCCAGTCTGAAATCTGACGCGAGCCCCCGCTGCGAGCGTCCCACGAAAACTGGGCCGTCCAAATCCAGGGCGCGCTCGTCAAAAGGCGTCGGCAAACCCGAGTTCCGGCGCACTCGAGTTTACGACTCCCCGAAACTAGAAGTCTCCTAGATGGGAACGGAGTAGATGGGGTCGGAGGATCGCG